GGTTCAGAAGGTTCACTTGTCGAACTTGTTGCGTACCCACCAGTGGTTCAGAAGGTTCACTTGTCGAACTTGTTGCGTACCCACCAGTGGTTCAGAAGGTTCACTTGTCGAAGACTTGTTGCGTGCCCACCAGTGGTTCAGAAGGTTCACTTGTCGAAGACTTGTTGCGTGCCGACCAGTGGTTTAGAAGCGTCACACAACGCTCCCTCTTCAACGCTAGTTCAGAGATTCTCAACAAGCATTTTCAGTTAAGAAAAATATCAGTATTTAAGGGTGTTTCCTGCTCGTGTAGAAGTTTATCATCTGACTCCAGAATATATCTGACGCACACCAGCTACTTCCTGACATATTATCGCTGACATAACACCAGCATCTCTCACACACTAGCAACACAGGAAGCGTTTATATAAACACTGCAACACAGCAAGCATTTCTATAAATGCAACACAGCAAGTATTTCTGTGAACACTTTCAACACAGCAACCATTACTATAAACACTTGCAACACAGCAAGCATTTATTAAGCAACATTTCGCTCGCTTGGAAACAGAAAAAACAAATACAGTTACAATATTTTTACTGATAACGTTTCGCCCACGAAGAGGGCTTTATCAATCAAATGTCAATAAAGGGTCTCATTTCACTTCATTTACGTCTCTACTTCCATTATGTCGGAATTTTATAGTCTCTCTTCATTTCGCTCACACGTAAGCGAAACGCTGTCAACTGAAGGCTTACCCTGTTAAAATCTGTATTGCTAAGTCAACCTCTTCCTTAAAAAGGGCTTCCTATCATATTCTGTAAAGTCACTGCAACCTTCCCAAGTTCTCCCATAACCTGTCTATTCTTGCTTCTTAAGACGTGAGTAAGCAGAAAGACCTCCCAGAAAGCGGTATCATATAACAGTAGTTTGGGCAGAGGACACGACAAGCGCCTCAGATCCCCAATTGATCCGCTGCCGCAGACCCAAATGGAATTTCCAACTGAATGAATCTCACGTTCGGCTGGGTGACCCCCGGGCGTGTCTTGGCTCAGTGTGTGCGTGTGTGTTTGTGTGTGTGTGTGTGTGTGTGTGTGTGTGTGTGTGTGTGTGTGTGTGTGAACCCAAAAGGGTTCTTTCAGGTATACAGAAGATTAGGGACAATGTAGGTCCACTTGTGATAAGGAAATGTGTGAACTTTTCATTACCTACTTCCTCTCAGTTTTTACTCAAGAAGATACTAGCAAAATTCCATGAATAATAAATTATATAGAACAGGACGATAATAAACTATGCACGATTAGGGTAAGTAGTGACATGGTCTTCAGATAAATAGAGAAATTAAAACCTAACAAATCCTCAGGCCCTGACGTAGAATTAGGGGAAATATGATTGAGGTATATAAATGGAAAACGGGAATTAATAAAGGAGATGTAAATTGCGTGCTAAAAATATCTAACATAGCCAGGACTCGCAGCAATGGTTTTAAATTTAAAAAATTCAGGTTCAGGAAGGACATAGGAAAGCACTGGTTTGGTAATAGAGTTGTGGATGAGTGGAACAAACTCCCGAGTACCGTCATAGAAGCTAAGACGTTGTGTAGTTTTAAAAATAGGTTGGATAACTACATGAGTGGGTGTGGGTGGGTGCGAGTTGAACCTGACTAGCTTGTGCTATTAGGTCGGATGTTGTGCTCCTCCCTTAAGTGACGTGTCTGACCTCACTAGGTCAAGGCATTGGCTTAAGCCGGTGGGAGAATTAGACCTGTTTCGCATAGGCCAATAGTCCTGCTGCAGTGTTCCTTCTATCTTATGTTCTTATGTGTGTGTCTGTGTACCAACCATTATGTGGTTGCAGGGGTCGAGTCGCAGCTCCAGTGTGTGTGTTTAGCAACTTTTATGAAGTTCGATGCCACACTTGTAGTCTCCTGAGTTATAGCACCTTTGTCTCTTGTTATTTGTTATAGTTGCTCGATACTTGTCTGCATAGTGCCTTGCGGCCTACTTTAGTATCCTCCCTGACACCGTTCTTTCTGGCAATGTCCTCCCTGGCACCCTCTTCCCGGGCACCGACCTCCCTGGTACTGATCCCTGGCACCATCCACCCTGGCACCATCCACCCTGGCACCATCCTCCCTGGCACCATCCTCCCTGGCACCGACCACCCTGGTACTGACCTCCCTGGCACCATCCACCCTGGCATCATCGACCTTGGCACCGACCTCCCTGCACCATCCACCCTTGGCACCGACCTCTCTGCTACTGACCTCCAAGGCATTTTCTTGGCACCATCCTCCCTGGCACCATCCACCTTGGCATCCTCCTTGGCACCATCCACCCTGTCACCATCCACCTTAGCACCAGCCTCCCTGGCATCGTCCTCCCTGACATCGTCCCCCCTGGCACCATCCTCCATGCCAACATCTTCCCTGGAACCATCTTTTCTGGCACCATCCACCCTGGCACCATCCTGGCACCTTCCACCCTGGCACCCTCCTCCATGGCACCATTCTCCATGGCATCGTCCTTCCTGGCACCATCCTCCTTGGCACCGTCCACCCTGGCACCATCCTCCCTGGCACCGTCCACCTTGGCACCGTCCTCTCTATTGCCCTCCCTGGCACCATCCTCCCTGGCACCATCCTCCCTGGCACTATCCTCCCTGGCACTATCCTCCCTGGCACCATCCTCCCTGGCACCATCCTCCCTGGCACTATCCTCCCTGGCACTATCCTCCCTGTCACCGTCCACCCTGGCATTCTCCCTGCACCGTCCACCTGGCACCATCCTCCCTAGCACCTTCCATCCTGGCACCGTCGTCCTTGGCACCGTCCACCCTGGCATCGTCCTCCCTAGCACCGTCCACCCTGGCACCATCCTCCTTGTCACCGTCCTCCCTGGCACCGTCCTCCTTGGCACCATCCTCCCCGGCACCATCCTCCCTGGCACCATCCTCCCTGGCACCGTCCACCCTGGCACCGTCCACCCTGGCACCGTCCTTCCTGGCACCGTCCTCCCTGGCACCGTCCTCCCTGGCACCGTCCACCCTGGCACCATCCTGGCACCGTCAACCCTGGCACCGTCCTCCCTGGCACCATCCTCCCTGCCACCGTCCTCCCTGGCACCATCCTCCCTGGCACCGTCCTCCCTGGCACTGTCCTCCCTGGCACCGTCCTCCCTGGCACCGTCCTCCCTGGCACCGTCCTCCTTGGCACCATCCTCCCTGGCACCGTCCTCCCTGGCACCGTCCTTCCTGGCACCGTCCTCCCTGGCACCGTCCTCCCTGGCACCGTCCTCCTTGGCACTGTCCTCCCTGGCACCGTCCTCTTTGGCACCGTCCTCCCTGGCACCGTCCACCCTGGCACCGTCCTCCCTGGCACCGTCCTCCCTGGGACCGTCCTCCTTGGCACCGTCCTCCCTGGCACCATCCTCCCTGGCACTGTCCTCCCTGGCATCATCCTCCCTGGCATCATCCTCCCTGGCACCGTCCTCCCTGGCACCATCCTGGCACTGTCCTCCCTGGCATCATCCTCCCTGGCACCGTCCTCCCTGGCACCGTCCTCCCTGGCACCGTCCTCCCTGGCACTGTCCTCCCTGGCACCGTCCTCCCTGGCACCGTCCTCCCTGGCACCGTCCTCCCTGGCACCGTCCTCCCTGGCACTGTCCTCCCTGGCATCATCCTGGCATCATCCTCCCTGGCACCGTCCACCCTGGCACCGTCCTCCTTGGCACCGTCCTCCCTGGCACCGTCCTCCCTGGCACTGTCCTCCCTGGCATCATCCTCCCTGGCACCGTCCTCCCTGGCACCGTCCTCCCTGGCACCGTCCTCCCTGGCACCGTCCTCCCTGGCACCGTCCTCCCTGGCACCGTCCTCCCTGGCACCGTCCTCCATGACACATTTTGTCTCCTGCACGGACACACAGCTCATACACTCCGCAGTAAGAACAATATTTTTCAAAATAGTCCGCAGCTTAATGGACACAGTTTGAATTTTAATGCCGAACCTATACTTTTTATTTATCGTTTCTTTTAGATGAAAGTTCATTTTTTTATATATACGACGACCAGTGTGAATATCGTACAATTTGAAGCGTTCATATTCTGCTTGAAAAAAGGCAGTTTTTATTTCCTTATATTTAAAAAAATGCTTTATACTTTGTCAGGGAGAATGTATCTGTCAGTGTTGATGTTTATGTTTGGTTTTGTCACTTTAGTAACACAATATTATATCTAAATGCTGAGTTTCTTTTTAATAGTTACTGAACTGTGAAGGTAGACAGAGAGAAGCAGAGTGACCAGGATACACAGTGTTGTGTGTTGAATGATTGCTCAAGGACACGCTTCTTACATCTCAATTTGTGCTTTTCATTATTATTATTATTATAATCATGGGGGAGCACTAAACCCTTAGGATTATACAGTGCCTGTGGGGGGGATGAAAGGTATTCCGACTCAATTCAGGGAACCTGAGCACAGATCCACTTCCCTAGATCAAGAACCTCTCACCAGCGTCAAGGAACCTTCCCTGAGGGGTTTGTACTTTTGAGTGCAGGTATTGAGTCGGCCTCTTAACTGTCACTTCCGAGTTCATTGTAGCTGTCGTAAAAGGCTCTTGATGGAAGGAATTTTAGCTACCCTCTCCTTCAAACCTGATCTACCAGGCGCTGTACTAACCCTTTGTGTGTTCAGTGCTTCCCAATTGATACAACGCTCTCAGAGCTAATGTAGATTTTTCAGTCGAGTATACTCTGAACCCCCTCGTGTCAGAGTATACTCGACACCTTTCCATGGAATATATTGTATACCGTGATCATTTCCACTCTTAATCAATTCATGAAGCAAATTCGTTCAGACTATGTACTGTAGCTGTATCTTACAGCTCTAGTACCAGTCTGGTACTTGTCATTTTTCCAGCTCCTGTATTTTCGTGACCAGGTGAAGGATGGGGGGGGGGGTTAATCTACTATGGCATTAAATGTGTTGTAAAAACTATTATAGATTCGTTATTTTGGTTCTTTTAGGTCATTGCTGGTCTAATATGGTGAATGGACACACCCTCCTCAGCTTAAAGCGATACATACGCTTTGTGAAGAATGGCAGTCACAATCCCGTTGCTGCAACAATTCGCAGAAAACCCACAAACTGAAGGTAAATTCTCAGACGACGCTGAGGTCAGTCCTGAACCTTCATCAAGTCATGAGTAAAAGAGAAAATAGATGAGTAACCCAGAAATCACATCAGTTGAAAAGTTAAGGACACGGGTTGAAGTGAAGAGAAAGTTAAGGTCAGGTCCAGTTACCAAGCTTCTGGAGACGGGAGAGTTTGACAACAATTCTGGGAAAGACAAATCTCAACAGACAGAACCCGTTCCGTGGTTTGTTTGCAGTATGTTATTACGATCTCGTGAGACAGAATTCACACTAAGATTAATACTGTGTATAAAGGTGGATTCTACAAGACAGTGTCTATGTAGGCTACGAGAGGAATATACAGCATTTGTAAGCTTATGGGATGACTATTTTTCTAACAAAGAAGAGACTTGTTGGTATCATCAAGGAGGATAAATATTCTCTGTTCTTTAAATCTGACCGGTGTCCCGTAATTCGATTGCCAACACACTCAGCTCACACAGTGAGGTCTGTGGTTCGATCCCCGGTACGGATGAAACATTAGGACGGGTTTCATTAAGACACCTGCTGGTATGGGTCGCATCCTGGAAACAAAATTGACCTAATTTGCCCGAAATGCTCTACATAAGAAGGGGCTTTTTTATATAGTAATATGTCATTGATGTCAGCTAGGACTGTATACCTTGTACATGTACTTGTAGTAAATAAAGATATTACTGGTATACATACTATCATTTATCAGTTTTATTTACTCAGGTGAAGCATAATTTTAATTTCAGATAAATGGACACAGAAGCAACTAATATGACATTTTATTGTAGCAACGTTTCGCTCTCCAGGAACTTTGTGGAGCCGTTACAAACAATGGAGGAACACAGAAGATATGCTATGTAGTTAACAAGGATCCTGAATCGCCATTTCTAAGATTATTAAACAGAAAAGAGGCAGTTGAGTCATCTGTACATGTCTCAGTTGACTGAAGTAGATTAAATTCTATTAGGTTTACTAACATCTGGTTGCCATTCCATATAATTATAACTCACTCTCTGGCGAAACGAAGCTTCGCAAACCTCCACTGCTACTGAGCTCTCAGTGGTGTACCTGGTGATATCCTCATCGCCTTGCTGAAATCTCTCTCAGCTCAGGTTGACATCTTTTAGTTACTTCGTGTATGCATCCCATCCTGTGGGTAATCAGACAATATAACTGTCATACTGAATAGAATACCTGTAGCATTCCGCGGGTATTCTTACAATGTAATTGTCGTGCCGAACAGGTAAAATTGGCCAATTGGCAAGAACTCGTTTAAAATTAAATCCTCTCTAAAATTTTCTCTTATACGTTTAAAGATATATTTTTTCATTTATGTTATTGTAAAAATTAATAATTTTGTACCAAAAAAACCTTAGAAAACTTACCTAACCTTATTATAACAAGCGCAATGTAATTTAGCCTAATCCAACTAAATGTTTTAGATAAGTTTACAATAATTTAGTAATAAACAAACACAATGAAAAATATATTTTTCGTTAGGTTCAGAATGATTTTTGCGAAATTATCGCATACACAAATTTTCGCTTGCCTTATTCGGCAAGAAAAGCGTTGCTGTTTAAGCCAAAATCGCAAGTTTTACGTATTCAGCACGACATAATTAGCATATAGAACAGGATAGCTGTACACTGCGGCTGTTATCACAGTATATCATATAGAACATGAAAGACATAGACAGCGAGTTTTCTCACTGTTTAACTATCATGTAGATACAATAATTGTAGGTGAGTACTGTGAGTGTAGGTGAGTACTGTGAGTGTAGGTGAGTACTGTGAGTGTAGGTGAGTACTGTGAGTGTAGGTGAGTACTGTGAGTGTAATTGAGTACTGTGAGTGTAGGTGAGTACTGTGAGTGTAGGTGAGTACTGTGAGTGTAGGTGAGTACTGTGAGTGTAGGGAGTACTGTGAGTGTAGGTGAGTACTGTGAGTGTAGGTGAGTGCTGTGAGTGTAGGTGAGTACTGTGAGTGTAGGTGAGTACTGTGAGTGTAGGTGAGTACTGTGAGTGTAGGTGAGTACTGTGAGTGTAGGTGAGTACTGTGAGTGTAATTGAGTACTGTGAGTGTAGGTGAGTACTGTGAGTGTAGGTGAGTACTGTGAGTGTAGGTGAGTACTGTGAGTGTAGGTGAGTACTGTGAGTGTAGGTGAGTGCTGTGAGTGTAGGTGAGTACTGTGAGTGTAGGTGAGTACTGTGAGTGTAGGGGAGTACTGTGAGTGTAGTGAGTACTGTGAGTGTAGGTGAGTACTGTGAGTGTAATTGAGTACTGTGAGTGTAGGTGAGTACTGTGAGTGTAGGTGAGTACTGTGAGTGTAGGTGAGTACTGTGAGTGTAGGTGAGTACTGT